GCGGATACTTTCATCAATACTGCATATTTTTGTGACACAACAATTCAGATTTTTTGGGTTTAAGTTTAGCGGTGATTTAATAATAATGCTACTAAAACAATTTAAGGGGTAATTTAATTAAAATATGAATAATGCCTGGTATATTTAGTGTTTTTACATTGCTGTGATGATTAAGATTAGAGTTGGAGTGGTGGTAGACGCTAATAAAATAGAATTAATGGGTAATTTAATAAATAATATTAATAATTCTCATTTACTTCTGTCCACCGCTGTATACCTTCTAGCAATAACCATAGTGCTTTGTAGTGTGTTTAAGGCCTGGAGTTGAGAAACACTGATCTAAATAATCTTACATGTGAATTTACATCTTCAGTTAACAGGCGCAGCGACGCAGTGGCACAGTAGGTAGTGCTGTCAAATCACGGCAAGAAGGTCGCTGGTTCGAATCCCTGTGTTCGCATGGGTTTCCTCCGGGTGCTCCGGTTTCCCCCACAGTCCAAACACATGCAGGTGAATTGGGTAGGCTAAATTGTCCGTAGTGTATGAGTGTGTATGGACGTCCCCCAGAGATGGGTTGTAGCTGGAAGGGCATCTGTTGCATAAAACGTGTGCTGGATAAGTTGGCGGTTCATTCCGCTGAGGCAAAGACTAAGCCAAATAAATGAAGGGACTAAGCCAAAAAGAAAATGAATGAATGAAGGAGTGTACATGCGCCATCTAGTGGAAGATGCGATTAAATTGAGTGTGGTTTAGTACTTATCTGAAGTAGATTCAGTGTTTGTCCTGTAGGTGTCGCTGTGTGAGTGAATAAAGCCAGTAAAGCTGCTCATTACTGATAAAGAACTGAAGAAAGAGGAAGTCACTAAAGCAGACTGTTGTAGATCCACACACACTCATCATTCAGCATCAACAACACACTCAACTCAAGTCACAATGAAGATCCTCTTCATCTTCTTTTTCTTGACTGTACAGCTGATCTCAGGTCAGATCTTTTCTCTTTCAGTCACTGGATACTCTGGAGGAAGCCTGATGCTGGATTCTGGACGCTCTTCATCAAGTAACAGTCTGTATCTGTTAAAACACACCCACGGAGGATGGGGTTTAATAATACTAGAGAACAGCAGGCAGGATCTGTGGGTCAGTGACGGAAAGTTCACTCTGTACTTGAACAAAAACAGAAATATGCTCTTCATCAGAGATTTGACGCCGCAGGACTCTGGAAGATACACGGTTGGGCTTTCTGCTTTTGAGGATATGGAAATACACTTGAAGGTGATTGAAGGTGAGTCATTTTGGCCTATTACATTTATACAATTAAAAAATAATACAGTAGGGCAGTGATTCTCAACCGCGTTACTGGAGGACCACCAGCTCTGCACATGTTCCATCTCTCCTTAACCAAACTACTGATTCAGATCGTCACCATTAGCAGAGACTGAAAGACCTGAAATAGGTGTGACAGACAAAGGAGACATCCAAAACATGCAGTGCTGGTGGTCCTCCAGGAACGTGGTTGAGAAACACTGCAGTATCAAGCTATATCTCAAGCTATTTAAAATGGGATTCCATTTTAACAATGAGACCAAAACAGGATTGGGACGGTAGCTATGCTTCCCTCCACCTATTTTTGTGTGCATTTTGGATATGCCCATTAAAAATCAGTTGAAACGCCGAGATGTACATACATTTTGAAAATGTGCATAACTGAATAAGATAAACCTTTTATTTGATAAGAAAAGATGCACATAAACTATGGTGGAAACTTCAGTATGTACATTAAAACAAGCCATGTGATTATGAGATAAGAGATTGTGTGATGATGAAAATGTGGGTGAATGGACAAACCAGCAGGCTGAGCACACTGTAAAACATCTGAAATGTTGTTTTGGTCATTCTAAAACCTCTTAACCGTTTCAGTATCAGTGTTATTATATTTTTTTATGACCTCCAGAACTGTCCAGAGCGTCTGTGCTCTGTGTCTCATGCCTTCAAATGCCACCACGTATTCATTGCGCATCAGCATACTGTCTTCTAAAGCACAAGTCATTTATTAAATAAAGAAAAGCTTCACACAGCTTCTCCTACTTTAGTAAATGTTGTTTTTATTTTAGATATTTGACGGCATTTAATTGTGTCGTGACGATTTTGTTCTCTTTGACTCGTTGGATGGAAACAGCCAATGAGTCTTTTTTACAGCATTTAGCAATCTAGTTTTATAGTTTTGTATGTACAAAGTACTCAGTTGTAAACAAATAACGTTAAAGTTTAAAACTAGCACTGGTGTAGTGTGAAAACAGCAGTAGATACTGTTGATTTTTTTACAACAATTAACAATACAAAGTGTTGAATTTACACACGGTTGGTGTAAAAAATGAACACCATCAGAAGTATAAATTTTACACTCCATAGTTTGGACACATACACTCTTAGTCAGTGTTAAATTTGACACATTGGGTGTTATTTTTACACTTGTGATATTGCTGTGTGTTTGCCTGAAAGTAATAAGTTATTAAATTATCCAGATGAATCATTTTAACTTGAATGAACTTAAACTGACTTGTTTAACTTTACAAAAAAAAGATAATGAAAAGATTAATGAAAGATTTCTATTCCTTTTTTTTTTTTTTTTGCAATTTAAATTAATATTTTAGCTCATAAAAATCACCTCAACTTGTTGTCTATATGTGGATAAAAGTATTTATTCAGAATTGTAAAGATATTACAAGGTTAAATCATGATGGTCATGTGTGTTACGTCAAAGACAAGAGGTGTGTCTACTCAGATCTTTACAAAGGTTTACAAAGTCTAAAAAAGGAAACATAACTATTTTTTTAAAATGTCTGGTGTAAAATCCTAATAAACATTTACTATTTTACTATTTTATTTATTTCCGTTAGGATTACCTAAATGATTTACATTTGCTAAATGTCAGAATAATGAAAGAAATGTTTTATTAATTTCTAGACAGTCACAAGTTTGTACACATATCCTTGATTTTTTTTTAGCTTTGCTTTTAAACTCTATAACTTTGGTCAGATGTTTTGGGTCTCCTTCCACAAGCTTCTCACAATAGTTTGCAGGAATTTTGGCCCATTCCTCCTGACAGAATTGCTGTAACTGAGTCAAATTTGTTGGCTGTCTTGCTCGCACAAGCTTTTTCAACTCTGCCCACAAAGTTTCTGTAGGATTGAGATCAGGGCTTTGTGATGGCCACTCCAATACATTCACTCTGTTGTCCTTAAAGCACATTTGAACTAATTTGGCAGTGTGCTTATAGGGTCATGGTCTGTTTGGAAGAGCCATTTGTGGCCAAGTTGTAATTTCCTGGCTGATGTCTTGAGATGTTGCTTCAGTATTTCTCCATAATCTTCTTTCTTCATGATGCCATCTATGCATACTTCACAGTTGGGATGGTGTTTCTAGTAACACTGGTCATTATAGCCAAACAGTTCAATCTTAGCTCCATCAGAGCACAGGACATGTCTCCAAACATTAGTCTTTTCCCAGTGTCATTCAGCTAATGGTAATCTGGCTTTGTTGTTGATTCTGGCTTGTTGATTCTCCATGTTGTCACACAAGAAAGCAGCGAGTTTGAGCTTTTTCTTCAATACTATTCTACAGTTGTGCCTCACATTAACTCAAATGTTGTCAATTAGCCAATCAGAAACTTCCAAAACCTTCACATCATCATTTGAGCTTTTTCAGAGGCAGAATAATCTTATTGTGTGTAAACTTGTCTTTCAAGAAAAGTTATAACAATTTCTCAAACAAAAATCTCTCATTATTCTGCTATTAAGCACAACAGAAACACATGTGATCATCTTAACTTACCTAAAAGAGAAAAAGTTTAATAACATTAACATCTGACCTTTTTTAAATGGTTTTGTGCCTTTTTATACAGTGTATGTTAGCTTCTGCTTTCAACTGTACATATTTTCTAAAGTAATAAGTGGATTAGAAATGGCCACAAATTTAGCTGATGAGGGTAATGATTGGACAGCATTTTGACAATATTATACATGTATTTTATAACAGCCAAGTGTTTTGCGAAAGGATGGAATAAACACACAAATGTGTGAACAGACAAATAATATAATAATTTGTGAATATTTAGCTCAAAAACTTCCTCAACACTACTCAACTAACCAAAAGTACATTACAGTAGCATGTTTGTCTTATACTGTACATACTTTAAATGACAGATTCATGCTGTAAACGGATGAAGAGACAGGAGGTGAATCTGGGACGGACTGGCATCTTCTTCTGTGAATATTCACAGAATCATATTAACCATGACAAGGTTGTCTTCAAAGAAGGAAAAAACTCCATTGATGAGATTATTAACAGCACATGGAAGCAAGTCAGGTTCAGTTGGTTTAATATTAGAGATAAACGACACTTCAATGTAATAATTACTGCAGTGAAAGCAGATGATGGAGGAGTTTATTTATGTGGAGTTTGGATCAACGAACACTCGTACAGTTACTACATTATTAATACTGTACATCTGCAGATTATTAGTAAGTAAAACAAACTCTGTTAAATTTAATTTAGTTTCTGAAATCTGTGTGTTTTGATGATGTTTGTGATTGACAGCTAAAGTGGGCGTGTCTACAGTGATTGGCTACTCAGGAGCTGCTCTGATGATCAAGTGTGAACATCCTCAACACAAAACCAAGACCAGATACATCTGTAAAGAATCATCAGCTGGATGTTCAGGAGAATGGATGAAGAATGGAGATGTTTCTGTAGATGAGGACACCAGAGCAGGAGTCTTGATGGTGTTTTTTAGAGAGCTGAAAGCTGCAGATGCAGGAACATACAGGTGTGGAGTGAAGGACTCTGAATATACTGAGAGATTCACTCAACTTCAGCTCGACATCAGACATGGTGAGGAAACAGCAGATACTTATATATATATATAAATAAGTATATATACTTTATATGTATATAAAGTATCTCTTCTGACATTATTTTATCTTTATTTAAAGGTGCAAAATATCCAAAAGTCATAAATAAATCTGTTCATCTTGGTGGAGACGTGAACATCAGCTGTCAAATGGCAAAAAAAATGAAAGTATATTTCTGCAAAGAGGACAATCAGAGGTGCCAGATAATGAGAGCATCTAAAGAGCCACAAATGACTCCTGGAGAGAGAGTTTACAATGTGAGTGTCAGAGATGCTGGAGTTTACTGGTGTGGAGCAGAAACCAGAGACACACATCTGACCTTCATCTCCCTGACCACTAAAATCCAGCTCAGCGTCATCAGTGAGTCCATTCAGATGATTCTGGAGTGAATACAGTCTGTTCACCATCATCTGTGTGTTAAATGTGTGTGTTTGTGTGCAGTGTCTCCAGTAGTGAGACGTGAAGGAGAATCTGCTCAGATCTTCTGCCCTTATGATTCAATCTATCAATCAAAGTCAAAGTCTCTCTGTAAGGGGAAGTGCTCCACTAGAGACACACGTCCTCTGGATGAGACTGTGAGAGAAGAGAAAGAGAGACTGACTCTGCATGAAGACGTCACAGCAAGCGTCTTCACCGGGACCATCACTGGACTGACAGCAGAGGATGCTGGGAAATACTGGTGCGCAGTGACATTAGACAGAGAGCTGAATTATCTTTACACTCATCTGATGGTCATCATCAAGCAGGGTGAGGAAGCTTCACACGTCTGAATGTGGAAAACTAGGCCTGTCCACTGATGTTCTTGTGTTTCTGCTCATTTCCAGAGCTGAGCTTGACTAAGTATGAAGGAGACGACGTGTCCATCCAGTGCAGACATCATGATGGAGATCAGAAAAGCTTCTGCAGAGCACATGAAGCCTCCGCGTGTGTGAAGGATGGAGATTCACTGGAGACCATCAGAGATGCTCGATTCTCTATCAGTGATGAAGCGTCTGCTGGAGTCTTTACTGTCAACATCACTGATCTGAGAGCAGACGACTCTGGGGTTTACTGGTGTGGAGCTCACCTCATCACTAAAGTCAACCTCACGGTTATAAAGGGTAAGATAAGAGCACACTACAGCTAATCTAATTGTACCATTGTTGAGTATATTTTTTGTCATTGATCAGCAAAACATGCATAGCATGCCATAATTTCATCCATACATTCTCCAACTGAGCTGTAGTCTCAGCAAGAGGCTCTTAAATTTTATTTTAAATGGACTTTTGTTGAGTATAATTTTTGTCAATTATCAGCAAAATATGAATGCCATTATTTCATCCATACCCCTTCAAGTTGATCTGGGTTGTGAGGACAGGACTCTCAGCCAGACTTCTCCCCAAACCAGGCATGTCAAACTTAGTTCTGGAGTTCTGCAGTCCTGCAGAGTTTATATTCAACCTAATTAAATCCAGTTGATCCAGCTAATCAAGCCATTCATTCAACCCAGGCCCATTGTGTAAACGTAGCCCCGCGGACGTTTCTGGAGGCCATGAAATACGTCCCAGGAGGTATGTAATTGCGCAGTTTTTGTTTACGCGAATCAACGAGAGGCCACTGTGCCGCGCTTTTTCACATCTCGAACGCCTCTCAGGAGCATTCGCCGTTTGTGCCCGCGCTGTTCTCGTGCGAAAAGCCACTGGAGGCCGCTGTTGAACGACCGTCTGTCCGACTGACTGATTGACTTAACGATCGACTGGGCGGCTGGCCAATCGGCCGACCCAGCCCGCCCTCCTCCTCCTCCTTCCTTAAACCCAAGCGACGATTTACAAGCCGTCCAGAAAAGAAAAGCAAAAGCCCTCGTCCAATTTTGACCGCGTTTTCAGATTTCGCTGCATTCTCGCCCCGTCACAAACTCGTTCGCTTTTATTGTTTGGATTCTGTTTTTCATCTTACATGATTCCTGGAACCGCTCTTCCCTGGACTGGAACCTGGTCGTCGCCACGGCCGCCTCCTCCGGGCCTCCTCTCCACGACGTAACACTACGAGCTAAGCAGACAAACTGGTTGCGGCGGGAAAGCCCGCCACACAGAGATGAGCCGTCACAGCCAGCGAGCGCGAAGACGCACACACCACCCAATAGCGTTCACTTGAAAAAAACAAATGTGGCCATACGTACCTCCGGCCACGTAAATCGCAGTCTCCAGAAACGTCCGCGGGGGCTACGTTTCTAGAATGAGCTTCAGTTGCATTCATTCATTCATTCATCCATTTTCCTTTAGCTTACTACCTTTATTCATCAGAGATCATCACACCGAAATGAACCGGCAACTTATGCAGCATATGTTTTACACAGTGGATAGCCTTCCAGCTGCAACCTGAAAGTACTGGGAAACACCCACACACTCTCATTCACAATCATACACTACGGCCAATATAGTTTATTCAGTTCCCCTATAGCGCATGTGTTTGGACTGTGGGGGAAACCGGAGCACCCGGAGGAAACCCACACCAACACAGGGAGAACATGCAAACTCCACACAGAAATGCCATCTGACCCAGCTGGGACTCGAACCTATGGCATTCTTGCTGTGAAGCCACAGTGCTAACCTCTCAGAAACTGAGCTGGACATCCCTGCCTCAGACACTTCCTCCAGCTCCTGGCAAAATCCTAAGGCTGTACCAGAAAAGCAGGAGACATAGCCCTTCCAGCATGTCATGGATCTTCTTCAGAAGGACTGGCCCAAAACACAGGTGAACACATCTGAAACAGAAGCCAGATCCAACTTAATGACTGCTCTCAGTGTGGCCAATGTACCTACAAAAATGTTTGGCCATTGATATTCGAGATCATGACCTTTTGCTCATGAAACAATATTCATGATGAGGAATGTAGATTGTCTGGTAAATCAAGAGCTTCACCTTCCGACCTTTCTCTTCACCACAACAGACCTGCTGCTGCTGTTGCTGTACCGATCTGTCAGCCACATCTGTCACAATTCACTGCAGACTGTTTCAGAACACAATAAAGGTTCAGGTCAGATGAAGCTAACAGATTTCCGAATAAAGCGCGGGAGTGTCCGGCAACTGGTTTAATTTTGGACGGGAGCGGGCGGTCTTACAACATTGCTTTCGACTTCCGAGCAAGCGAGCATACGTATGTATGTGTGTGAGTGAGACAGCGTGATGCTGCATTTAGCTTGCTTGTTGCTCTGTGTGTGTGTGTGTGTGTGTGTGTGTGTGTGTGTGTGTGTGTGTGTGTGTGTGTGTGTGTGTGTGTGTGTGTGTGTGTCGTTACCTCGTTAGCATGAACATGCGTGTTGACAAGTGTTCATACCAGCTCAAAACCACAGAAATGAGCTGAAGGTGCACAGTCTTAAGATGGTCTGTGAAGAAGCTACAGACTTTATTCAGGAAACCCACAGTGAACAGAGAGAAGAAGAAGCTGAGCAGAGGCGGTGTGCAAATCTGCAGAGCAGAGAATCAATTACACTCATTTTACTGCAGGAAAACGAAGATTAAATGCACAAACATACAATTTACAAGTGTCTTTATTCACCTTGACTAGCTTCTTTTATGAAAAAATAATCGAGTTCTATTGAAATGCTTTTACTCACTATTGTTCTTTAAAATGTGCACACCACAAACCACGTGTTTAAACAGATGATTATGTTAGAAATGTTTATGATAGAAAAATACACAACATTAATATCTCTTATATCTGTAATACATTATATCGAATTTCAGTAATTATGTAGATATTACTTATTTTATTTATTATATAGTTCTGTTTGTCTAATTCTCACTCTGTGTTTCTGTTTTCTTTCAGATTTCTCCAAGATCGTCATCATCATTACTGGTGTGTGTGTGATTGTGCTGCTGATCTGTGGATTCACTCTCACTGTGTGTAAATTAAGACGCAAGAGAACAGGTTTGATCATTACTGTGATTAAGTATTATAGTCAAATTCATTTGAGTGTTTGAGTCTCTAAACTGTTTCAGAGAATCTGTATTCTAAAAGTTTCTGTATTAGACCCATCTGTATGACAGTTTGTGTTTCTCTCACTGATTAATTCATTTTGTTTTGTTTAATCAGAAATAACCTCCACATCGGACAAGGGAAAGAGAGTGAAAAACACAGCGGTGAGTTACAGAGTGTGTGTGTGTTTACATTTATTTGTAGATAACAATTATTTGGTTATTTTATATTTTATTATAGTAAAAAATAGCAATCATATATATATATATATATATATATATATATATATATATATATATATATATATATATATATATATATATGTCATTCAGTGTAGCAATAATTTCTATGTGGTAAAATCTTCCTATGAATATTTAACAAGAATAATTTAATGTCTAATTAAGCTGTCTAAATTTGATCTCAAACGCTCATTAGTTGTAGTTTGTAATATTTCTGGGAAATATTATTTCCTTTTCCATCCCACCACTAATAAGTAATACTTTATTTGTATTTAATAAATTATGCAAATCACTCTTGTAAATGTATTTTGATGTGCACATAGACAGAGTGAGAGGGTATTTCTGTCTAACTTCTCAGCTCATTTTTTCTTGATTTCCACTTGTTTAGTCATCAGACAGCAGACGTGATCCTGGATCAGCAGAGATGACCAGTCCTGATGAAGGATCTTCTGATGAGCTTCTGTACGCATCCGTCACTTTCCAGAAGCAACAAGAGTCTCTCAGTGAAGCTGCAGTCACCTTCAGGACACGTCAGGTTTACTCTGATTATACCACAGTCAGTCTCAAATCAGACTGTCTATCTCACTGATAACTGCAGGGTTTTAATAAACTGTGATATGCACGTGCTTAATCTGTTCCTCGTTTTTTTAATCAGGGTAATTCACATCAGTTCAGTGTTGACCCATGAGACACTTTTTAGTTTCCACTGATGATGTTCTTTCACATTTAAAATAGCATCTGTGTGAAATGTTTGTCGTCTTGCTTCGAGGGTGTGATGAACACAGGAAATAAAGCACTGAGAGAAGTTTCCACTGCAAACACAGAGACACACTTAGTTATAATGAGTTTAATCTTTGCACTGGTACAGAATGTTTGGAATGTTTAGAATATCACAAGTTTTAGAACCTGACACTGTATTCCGCAGTTTCCATGGCAGTGCATCTATTTTCTTCAGTTAAGAATAATGGCAGATTTAAATTCTTTGTTTGATGTTCTGGAACCTGCGTTCGAAGTTCTGAACATTCTAAATGCCCCATGTGGAAGTGCACTGCAGCCCTTAAAGCGGTCACAATCCTTTTACCTGCTATAGATTTGTACTTGTGTGTTTCTCATTTTGCTCTGTTAGTCGTTTTCCTGAAATATTGTTTATTAAATGGTATTCATGAAGAATATTTAACATCAGTTATGGTTAGAGTTAGGTTAATTTAAATCATTAAAATGTTTTTTTCAATAATCAATTCACTAAAAATGTTCTTTGAGATATTAAATAAGTTTCTTTTCTGGCATCACTGCATTTAGAAGCTCTCATGCATTAAATAAACTTCATTGCATAATCATATATTTTACAGAAAATTATAAATATTCTTGATTTGCTTTTGTTTCTAGTTTATTGCCCAAATTAAATGAGTGGATTCAGAGAGATCCAGAGAAGCAACAGTACAAGAAAATAATTATTATCTATAATGTTGTGTTTTAATTGCAGAACTAATCTAAATATTCACATATGAACTATTTGTCAGTGGTCCAGTCAGTACAATATTAAAACTGGATTTTTTAATGATTATGATCTGTATTATTAATTGTTATTGTGATCTCGAGGCTCAAACATGACCTGCGTTCTGTTGGTGTTTTAATGCTTGTGGAATGTAAGGTTGTTTTTTCCGTCCAGCTCAAAGCCACAGAAGCAGGTGAAGGTTCAGGCTCTCGGTTTAGTTTGACTGAACATTACAGAGACTCTCAGGCGCTGAAGATTAAAAGAAGACAAAGAGCTGCAAATCCTGTGTTCATCTTCATCTATTGAAGTCGAAATGTCATTGACTATTTTTAATTCGGCCAATGAATATAAAAGTCAGTAGCGTCCATTTTGCTTTTCTGTGCTCAAGACAGATGCAAAGATAATCTGCCTGATAATCTGGACAGAGATATGACAGTATTGTTGAATGTCAAATGTTTGTACAGGGGTTTAAATGTTTAAATGTGCATATTTTAGCAACAAAACTTAATTATGAAAGCATTTTTAAGATGTAAATTGTGTAATTTCGGGAGAAAATACCTTTGATTAGCAAGAATAAAGAGACTCTTTGAAACTGTAAGTGCTTTTAAGTGGTGTGTGTTTGCAGAACTGTTTATTTTAGTCAGTGTGTGATGGTCAAACCACAACCCTACAGTGCAGTCATCTGCTGGTGTGATTTAAAAAAAAATGATGGTCACAAACTTTCCACTCTATAAAAGCATTCTGTTCATTTATATATATATATATATATATATATATATATATATATATATATATATGTGTGTGTGTGTATGTATGTATCTTGGAATAATAAGGTTCTATCTGTGTTCTGAACAATTGAGATTCCATAGCAAACAGTATGTGTATAACATTTTTTTTTAATATTAAAAGGCTTAAAATGTAAACAACTCATATAAAAAAAACAACAAAAAAAAAAAACATTCTAGCTCTATGTATCCCAGCTCTTCTACAGAAGGTTCTACAGAAAGCTTTCCAGTACCAAAAATAATTTAAGATTCTTTATTTTAGAGGGCTGTGCAGCTTATCGGGTTAGGGTTACTTTGGTGGGCCAATACAACTGCAAAAACGTAAGCAAGTTTGCTTGTTTCTCATATGTTAAAACTCCTCTGAACATTCAAATATGCTAGAGCCAATGAGGTTTAAGCTGAGTTTTGACTCCTCCCATTTCCCTTTAGACCCCTGAATGACAGGACAGAGCGAAAGGGGACGGTTTTCTGTAATGAATTACGCTTTGATCTGTTTCTCAAACTGAAATATGTTCTGTCTTTATTAGACTTTTTTTTTACACATAATGAAGTGTATGAATGATTATTAATTGTTCAGTGGTTCATGAATCTCACTCATTTTTTATAAAGCAACACTGATAAATGGCTCTAATAAATGATTAAATTTAACTTTATCAGTTTATAAACTAATATATTAAAATAATTACTTTTATAATAGAAAACATTACTCTGGGATATCAAATAGGCCTAAATCTAAATATAAATTCTAAAGCAAATGTACGCACTTAACACAACTTGTGGTCACATTGTAATAGTTTTTGTAAATATTATAATTAATCATTTCCATGTGGAATAGCTCATTTAAGTGGAAACAACAAAAGCATTATAGAGAGACTCTGAAATTATTCTCTGAGAGCATCAGCTATTGATGTTTATTATTGATTACATTTATCTTCTGGCTCCACCTAGTGGTGAATATGTGTTAGTGTCTTCATTGTCCTGGTTTAAGTGAACTGATGTCTGTGCAGATTATTGCGTTCTGTCTGAACTAATTATTCCAGATGTCTTCATTGATTGACCAATATAGGTCTGGACTTGTGGATGGGAGTTTCTTCTATTGAGCTGATGAGCAGAATCAGGTGTGTTTTATTAGGAAGAGATGGAAAATGTGTATTATTGATGCATCTAAATTAACAAAGGTGTGAAATACCGGATTATATGTCTGCTAGTATTTGCATTTTAATTATTTTTCTGTTGATGAATTGTGAATGACTCTGGTTTATGAGTCAACTGTGTGTGTTGGAAAATGAGGAATCAATCTGAAGGAACCAATTCTCGATATTGACTATATATGACTTGTTGTTTATGTTTTTACGATAGTCAGAGAGGAAGAATCTTCCAGCAGTTCACTCTGTGTTTTTTTTTAATGCTGAAGTTTGACTGCCAGCTGCTGTCCGTGGTGCTGAATCCACATCAGAGATTTAGTTTAATCTGAACATAATTATCCAAACAAATCCAGGTCGATAGCTCATCTTTACATTAAACCCAGAGTATAATTATTAAATCAAAAGTATCAGATGATTTTATTTACATAAATAATTACAGCAGTGCCTTTACCATTGAGTACTAAGTGGTCTAGAGGACTTCAGTGATCTATTCCCATCTAGTGGAGGATTTAAATACTGCAGATCTGATTTACTTACAGAGAAGATTCCAGCTTTGTCCAGCAGGTGTCCACTGATGTTCAGTAAAGCTGCTCATTACTGATAAAGAGCTGAAGAAAGAGGAAGTCACTAAAGCAGACTGATGTAGAGACAGAGATACACACACACACACACACACACACACACATCATTAACAACACTCACTCAACACTCAAGTCACAATGAAGATCCTCCTCGTCATCTCCGTCTTCACTTTAAAGCTGATCTCAGGTCAGAGCTTTTCTCTTTCAGTCACTGCAGTAATGATGCTGTTTTCTGATTATTAATCTGATCTACAGCTGATCCATATGTGGTGAAGTATATTAATGCCACTGGGTACTCTGGACGAAGCCTTCTTGTTAGTTCATGGAAGCCTTGGCATGAAAATGATACTAAATTCATGGGAAAGCTACAGGATAGACCAATAATAAAAAACAGGAAACATCATCGGTGGATTAATGAAGGAAGATTCACTTTATTTTGTAATAATCTTGCAAGCTTAGTGCTTTACATTAAAGAACTGAACAAACAAGATGTTGGAAAATACTGGATTCGTGTTCAAGGCAAATGGTCAGTTGAAATTACTTTGAGTGTAAAAGAAGGTCAGTCATTTAATCAGTAAAAATCCTGTGTAACAGTCACTGATCGATCGTTATAGCTTTCATTAATAAAAAGGTATTTCTTTATTATATGAATGACAGATTCATGTTGTAAAGTGCCCACGAGTGTGATGGTGAACAATGGAGAGACGGCCAGTTTCAACTGTGAATCTTCACAGAGTCAGATAAACAATCACAAAATTATATTAAAAAAAGCAAAGGATTACATTGAGCTGATTTACAACTCATGGTATAATGAAGGACGAGTCAGTGTTTCAGATGACAGACCTGATCAGAAAAAGCTCTTCAGTGTGAGAATTACTGCAGTGACACCAGAAGATGGAGGAGTTTACTTCTGTGGAGTTCAGTTCTACAGAAACTCCCACAGTTACTCCATTATTATTGATGTTCATCTATTTGTTATTAGTAAGTAAAGCAAACCTAATCAAACCTGAATTGTTCATTTTTTTATCTGCATGTGATTTGATGATGTTTCTGATTGACAGCTGAAGTGGGCGTTTCTACAGTGATTGGCTACTCAGGAGCTGCTCTGATGATCAAGTGTGAACATCCTCAACACAAAACCAACACCAAATACATCTGTAAAGAATCATCAGCTGGATGCTCAGAAGAATGGATGAAGAATGGAGATGTTTCTGTAGATGAGGACAGCAGAGCAGGAGTCTTGATGGTGTTTTTTAGAGAGCTGAAAGCTGCAGATGCAGGAACATACAGGTGTGGAGTGAAGGACTCTGAATATACTGAGAGATTCACTCAACTTCAGCTCAAAGTCAGACACGGTGAGGAAACAGCAGATACTTTAGTATATAAAATATGTCTTCTGACTTTCTATTATCTTGATTTACAGATGGGAAATATCCAAAAGTCATGAATGAATCTGTTCATCTTGGTGGAGAAGTAAAGATCAGCTGTCAGATCATAGAAGAACAGAAAGTTTATTTCTACAAAGAGGAATATAATCAGAGCTGCCAGATCAGGAGAGCATCTGAAGATCCACAACTGACTCCTGCAGAGTCTGTGGGAAGTGAAGAGAGAGTTTTCACAGTGATCATCAGTAATGCGAGTGTCAGAGATGCTGGAGTTTACTGGTGTGGAGCAGAAACCAGAGACACACATCTGACCTTCATCTCCCTGACCACTAAAATCCAGCTCAGCGTCATCAGTGAGTCCATTCAGATGATTCTGGAGTGAATACAGTCTGTTCACCATCATCTGTGTGTTAAATGTGTGTGTTTGTGTGCAGTGTCTCCAGTCGTGAGACGTGAAGGAGAATCTGCTCAGATCTTCTGCCCTTATGATTCAATCTATCAATCAAAGTCAAAGTCTCTCTGTAAGGGGAAGTGCTCCACTAGAGACACACGTCCTCTGGATGAGACTGTGAGAGAAGAGAAAGAGAGACTGACTCTGCATGAAGACGTCACAGCAAGCGTCTTCACCGGGACCATCACTGGACTGACAGCAGAGGATGCTGGGAAATACTGGTGCGCAGTGACATTAGACAGAGAGCTGAATTATCTTTACACTCATCTGATGGTCATCATCAAGCAGGGTGAGGAAGCTTCACACGTCTGAATGTGGAAAACTAGGCCTGTCCACTGATGTTCTTGTGTTTCTGCTCATTTCCAGAGCTGAGCTTGACTAAGTATGAAGGAGACGACGTGTCCATCCAGTGCAGACATCATGATGGAGATCAGAAAAGCTTCTGCAGAGCACATGAAGCCTCCACGTGTGTGAAGGATGGAGATTCACTGGAGACCATCAGAGATGCTCGATTCTCTATCAGTGATGAAGCGTCTGCTGGAGTCTTTACTGTCAACATCACTGATCTGAGAGCAGACGACTCTGGGGTTTACTGGTGTGGAGCTCACGTCATCACTAAAGTCAACCTCAGGGTTATAAAGGGTAAGATAAGAGCACACTACAGCTTATCTAATTTGACCTTTGTTGAGTATAATTTTATCTTATCAGCATAACCTGAATGCCATCCATTTATTCATATGTCTATATGGTTTTGAGGACTGCAGTCTCAGCCAGACTTCTCCCCAGATTAGGGGGGTCAAACTTAGTTCTGGAGTTCTGCAGTTCTGCTGAGTTTATATTCAGCCCTAATTTGATCCAGAAATACCTCATCTGCAAATATCAGTGATGAAATTCTGTGGTCCCTGAACCAGATTCCTTTGGCCTCAGGCTGTGCCCTTAATGACTACTCTCACCCCGACCCTAAACCCAACCGACACAGTACTGTAAAAAAATGAATTATTGTTATACAGTGTCATAAAAAATGCTGCTATGTTAATGTGCATATTGCACTTCCGGCCAGCCGCATTTCCAATCTAGACTTTATCCTTGATTTGCCTTGATGTTGTTGTTTTTTTTCTCTTTTTTTTTCTTTTTTTGCTGTCATTCCTTGTTTATGGCATTGTTTTGTTATTGCAGTGACATTGTGCAATACATTGACAACTTTGTTTGTTTACATACTGATGTACTT